TCTGTGGAATGGAAAATTAATTGTATAAATTTACTTTAAAATGACATTTTAACGTTGTATTTTAACTAAATTTTCAGTTCTACTTATCTGATCTTACTCAGTTTACGAAGTTCTGGTAACTAGTTCTCTCCAATATAATTGGTATGAATCTGTGATTAATTCCGCAAATCTCAGAGCATTGCCCAAAGTATAACCCAGGACGAATGGAGAACAAATTAAGCTGATTGATCCGTCCAGGAACTGCATCTACTTTAATTCCAAGAGACTGAACTGTTCATGAGTGAATAACATCCATGGAAGATACAATTAGACGAATAGAGATTTTGAAAAGAATAACTATTCGATTATCAGTTTCTAATAACCGAAAAATCTCATTTCCTACATAATCTTTCATATAACAATTGATTTCTAAATTGTTAAACAAAAGGATATTCATACGATCAGTATCACTGATGTCTAATGGCCTTGATTGAGAAGTACGGGTTAATTATTTCATCAATAAAGAATCTTAAGAGAGGGGTAGCAAATAAAACTAGTAAGTAAAACTAACATAGGCATAATAGTTCAAATAATCTCGATAGTGTGATTTTTTAGCAAGTTAAAGTTAGAATAAGTATTTGTCATAAAATCAACAATGAAAAAAATAGTTAAAGAAGTAATTATTAGAATAAATGTTATTACAAAATTGTGAAATGAGATTAGATTATCTGTATGATAGAGTAGAACGAATTTGAATCTTGGAATATATACATATTTCATGTAGAAATTTTTAACAAAAATATAAATTTCATTCTTGAATCTTAAATTCAAAGCACTTATTCTGCCATATTAAATTTATGGATTAAAGATATTCTTTACTTTGCATATGAAAATAACTGGAATTTCACTAATTATATGATCAAAAGGAGGATAGTTGTTAAGTCACTCTAGTGAGAATTGATTAAATTTGAACAGAATTATACGCTTAGAAGCAAGTCTTTCATAAATAATATATATCAAGAAGAGTAATCTATTGATTGAAGTTATCGAACCAATTGAAGAGAGAAAATTTCAGCAATAATACGAGTCAGGGTAATCCGAATATCGGCGAGGTATTCCTATAAGACCTAGAAAATGCTGAGGAAAGAAAGTTTGATTTACACCAATAAATATAAAAAAAAAAACTGAAACTTAAGTCACTTCTGATTTATTATAACTCCTGAGAATATAGGAAACCAGTGAATAAAGCTTGCAATAATTGAGAATACAGCTCCTATAGATAGAACATAATGAAAGTGTCCTACAACATAGTAGATATGTATCATGTAAAATAATATCAATTGAGGAATTTGAAAGCATAATTCCTGTTAATCCTCCAATAGTAAATATCAGAATAAATCCAATTGACCATATAAAAGAAATATTGAACTTAATCTTTGAGCCAT